TGGGCAATTCGTTTAGCATATAACTGAGTCATAAGACTTGGCTAAAGCCAATAGCTATTCACCACACTAACGTGTTTTAATTGCAAAATTACTTTCGTATCACCGCTTAGATATACGTGCACGTGTTATTAGTAATCTTGCAAGCAAGCAAGCAGCAAGTTTATTTCTAGCATTAAGAAAGTTTTAGATTCCCTCCCACCCACACCATCGACAGTTTTGATCGTACCTTAATCTCTTTCGTGTTTGTAATTTATTCTTGATTACTGGACCTTTGGTTTAGTTCATTCGTCCAATATCTTTGTTATGTAACAGTCCAGTGTGTTATTTATGTAAGATGGATACATTTAATGGTGTCTGGTCCCAAAACAAGCCTCTGTCTGTTGTGGTGTTTAGTTTTGATCTCAGATGCTCGAGTGGCAAAACCAAAGTTAATTGGGCCATATAAATTCTGGACCTGTCATGTATTTTATTATTAGTAATGCATTTAGTCAATCCTTGTATCTGAAAGATATACTGATACACATATTTACTAAGTTGAATGCAGGGCCTTGAAGTTGCCATTGACAGCCATGCTACTAGTGTTCTTATTGTACTTTTATGTTATAGAGAAAGGTGGATTGATGGGTTAATTTTGATCCTAGCGTGTTCTTTATTCCAAAAACCATCTGGGTCTCATGCTGTGAGGGTAAAACAGGGTAGCAATTGCTCTGTAGTCAACTTTTTGGGGCCCACATAGCTAGAGTTTTTGGTTGTTTAACCCTTTGACCCTCTAAGAGTGACTAACATCTAATTTCTCCCAACAGTATCACCCCTGAATCACACATTAAGGTCATGAGAATAATGAAAATGATCGAAAACTAAAAAAGCCCTGGATTGTTCGGGAAATTCTTCTTGACAGCACCTTAGGAAACATATAGCTAACAGTATGGAGGAAATGCATACCAATGTTGGTGTGTAAAGAGTTAAGGCGTGAAGTTTGTCAGAACCTATTCTTGACATCTTGTTCCTGGGTGGAGAGAGTACGGATCATGTGTACTATATTTAGGTGGCCTCGGTCGACATATCGACCGATACATCGGCCGACTGTCAACCGATAGTCGGTCGATTGCCGACCGATAGTCGACCGATAGTCGACCGATATATCGGTCGATTGTCGGCCTATATGTCGACCGAGGCCGCCCTATAGTACACATGATCCGAGAGGACTTGTGAGAGTGAAACAATCTGCTAAGGAACACTATATTATGGCTTGGGCAGGAATTTAACCCAGACCCCTCAATATACGGGCCTTTAGGCAATCATATGTCAGTCTGTTGGTAATAAATAATTATTGGTGATACATGGTTTTCTCCATTTTTATGACTGACTTTCTGAAACAGGGGGTTTGGAAGAGCAGATCACTCCATCACAGACAAGAAACTTAAAACAGCTTACCCAGATTATGAAAGTATTACCTTCTCCAATGAGGGTTATTAGAAACATGTTGAGAAGTCTGAATGTATTTATTAAGTCATATTTTGTAGTAATCATACTACTAAAAGATTAATTATTTGATACATTGTATAGGATAGGGCACTTAAAAAAAGATACAACTTGAGGTCTTTGTATTTGGCAGTGCTTTCAGTAAGACTTGGTGCCTGTGTCAGAGCTCTTCAAGATCAGTTGTGTAGCAAAATACCTGAAAAAATCTTGACAGCTTTAATTTGGTAAAGAAAAAATAAATTTGATACGATACTTAAAAGGAGATGTGTTATACACTGATAGACCCCCCCCCCCTAGTAATATTCATTTGTCCCCAAACAGGCTGATAGGGTAGAGTTTGTGTTTGTGTTCTGTTCCAGACCACCAGATTTGACAAATATTTTCCATTTTTAAACCAGAACAATTTTAGTTTCTTAAGAATGCCATGTAGGGAAAGTCCTATGTAACCTCAAATCTGAATAAAAGCACTGTTTACAAGTTGGCTAATTATACTCTATGCATGTACATTACTAACAGTTTTTTACGTGGATTCTAAAGAATCTTTCCAAGTAATGAATTTACATAAATTGCATCTAGAACTACTGTGCTACATTGGAGATGTAAACAAATCCAAACCTGTGTATGAAAAAGAAAAATTATACACTTCAAAAGGTACAAATATTATATACTTTGGTGGTAAAAATTTTTCCAGTTAGCTAAGGCTTCATTGGTACAAAGTTATGTAAACTAAAGCTAGTTAAATTTATATAATAGGTTGCTAAGGTTCGTTATCCAAAGCTGTTTTAGCACGAGATAAAAACTGAGATTATAATTTTTATAAACAATGGTGTACTTCCTCAAATAGTTAGGTGTATAATGATTAGGATCTTACCTAATTATACCATTACCTTGAACTGTTAGACAGCTTGTAAAATTTGTGATTAAGGAATAACTTCACCTTACAATATCATAACATTATCCAGCACTTAGGGAAAAAGGAAAAGATAAGTTTAGCCACAAGACTGGTTGCTATTTTGATACAATACCAAATACTCTTCACTAATTTACCAGAAAATAAACAGTTGACGAAGGGACAATTATTACTCAGATGTTTAGAGTGGAGGAAACATTTTTCCATTTGTTTACATAATTATACAGTGATATCCAGGTTTACACTGTAATGTTTCGAACATCTTGCTGCACAAGTGTTTCCATTTCTGTTCCACTGTGCTCTGGAACATGACCATTTTCTTGTGATGAGTTAGGAGCCGAAACAGGACCACTTTTGCAATCTGCAGATTTCTTACTTTTATTAACCCACCTCTTCCAATAGAGCCATGAAAAGAATATAGAGATTAAATACATCACTGCTTCTTTCAAAGCCTCATCAGCAGTTTGTCTTCCATTATATGACTGCCCAGCTAGAATTACAATAACAATAAGACCACAGACAGCTAGGAACCCAGCAAAACATGAAGAAAATGACTGACATTTTGAGGCGTCATTTGAAGACATGTAGGTATAAAATGCAAAGGTTGAGATACCAATAAAAAGGCAAAGTACGAGCAGAACAACAAGACCCCAGATAGGATTCAGCATTATACCGACTAAGAGCCAACAAAAATGGTAGGTTGCTAAATTTGCACAAATTATGAAAAGAAGTGACTTCACCTTTACACTATAGTTATTCTGGTCGCTACCCCCACATTTCACCCATGTCACCAAAAAGACGATTACCCCAGCAAGCACAATGGCCGGTTGTATCAGTTCAATAATAAGGAACATATAATAAGGAACCATTTTCTTATCGCTGCTACTTGTATGGACTGTTACATATCTTGGTATAATTAAAACAGTGATTATTACAAACAAAAACACACACAGGAAATCTACCGTATTTTTTCTATTGTTGTCCTTTTTTCCGAGCTCGTCCTGTTTTCTCGTTGTTGTAAAGGCCAACAATGGCCCAAACACTATTGAAAAGAGAGAGGAGAGGATTAAAATTAATCTTATTCGCCAACTGTGTTCTGTAACAGAGGAAATACTCGGTTGATGTCCCTCTGTGATACACTCAGCAGAATTCAGTTGGGGGTCTCTCATTGCTGGCCTAACAGCCAGATCTTGGAGCTATGAAACATAAGAAAGAACTAAGTCAAATCAAACAAAAAGATGATTCTAAAAGAGTAAGCGAAAAAGAAGTGAAGATGAGCTATGGGATAATGGAAGGTTTGGAAAAATATTTAAAAACACAGAACAATGAATCCCTGTTGGTATGTCCAGCACCAAGTCATGGGTTCTTGGTCATAATAACAGTGTACATGCCCAGCATACATGCCAACTCTCTCGAATAAGCCATAAGTCTTAGGGAAAACACACGAATATCCCTGACTCTGGCATAGTTTGCCAAACAACTCGAAAAAAGGAAATATGAACCACTATCTCCGCAAAGATGGAGAGGCAAGAAAATTTTTTTCTCCACTTTAGAGAATCGTCGCGTTTCTGTTCATGGACTTTAAAGACAATTCTTTTTAACGGATTTGAATTTGATATTTGCTTTCATTTAAGTGACTTCCAGTTTGAAGGAGATATCGGAACAAAGATGCTAATAAACAAATTTAGACGAGGAGAGGGGAGAGGGGTGGGGACGTGGTCCAAAATCGTACCTATCCGGGTTTCTCCTTTTTCCAAGGGGTACTAACATTTTCAGTTCCATGGATGAAGTTATAATAACTGAAGTAACAACTCTACTTTCAATTCTTTCCGGAGCAGATGTTTACAAGGTTTAGAGTGCAATGTTTTTTCCTGATTGGTTTTTAATGTTCAATTGGAATATTTTTGCTATTTCGGTACATAATCTAAATTGGTCAAAGTACTTACAGCAGCTAGAGCGTCTTCGATGTGTTTTTTTAGTTTCCCTTTCGTCACATCACAGCAGGAAAGTGAAATTGTTATGTTAAGCTCCTGTGTTCGACTGGTCACCATGATTGACCATAAAGACCAAAATTCAAGAACTTTAGCAGGAAGAGCAGCGTACAGGCAAGAAATACTCCACGTGTATTTGGCAGCAGGAGTTGAACTTTCCGTTTTGTTGGGGCCATAGACATTTACAAATACCCGCACTGAGGAAGGCCTCTTGGGTGGATAAAGAGCCGACTCGATGTTGAAACTGTTTTCTGATTTCGCCAAGATGTTGTAAACTTGTTCGTAAGTGATTTTGTTACAGGCATCAGTTCGACTGACAGCACTTGTACAGTTATTGGTAGCTGTTGCTTGGGACACGTGTTTTGGAAATAGGTGCATTATCACAACTTGAATTAAGACGAGAAATTTGAGATCGATTCGCAAAAATGCCATCCTTGAAAAACAGTGGAGATTCTAATAGCTTTGAATCCCTTAGCCAGTTCCAAAATTTCCTGCAAGAGAAGCCGAATGAATACAAATCAGCTTTGTTTGATGCACATTTACTTTTTGAGGCTGGTTATTTCCTGTTAGCTGTCAAAACACAATATTTTATGAGCGAAAATCGCTTAGATTACTGCTAGAGGTTATCACAGTTTCCATATAGCATGAAGTGTTGAGTTAGTATACTGCTACTCCCTGTGGACAAGAGGCAAGTCCATCGCAGAAAATCACCCAGCACATAAAAACGTTAGTCCTTGAGAGTGTTATGGTACCCATTTATATTCTTAGGTGAAACGAGGCTTTGAAACGAATACTGAGTGCTTTTCTGTCTACAGTGAATATATTCAAGAAGAATCGGTAGAGGATTTCTCGCGAGTTCACGTGGAGAAACTAGCTACAGTCTGGCTTAAATGATCGTAACGCTTGCAGAAAGGTTGTTGGCCACAGTTTATCTGCAGTAATTTGTGGTACAAGTCACTACGTTTTGGCTCGGCCAATACTTAGTATATTGGCTGGATGTAAATAAAAGAACACGTTCACGATACTTCCGGTTTCCATGAAATAGCAATGTCTAACTCCAATAATCCGTGTCTGTAAGCTTCTATCGTTTGCCATTCTGAATAAAGCCTCTACTCATCAAAGTTTGAAATCAATTCCTTTTGATATTAACATTTAAGGGAAAAAAATCAGCGCCGGAAACAGCTTAACTTCTTACCGAAACCCTCCTAACGACTAATGGCTTATCGTAGGTTCAACCGTCCTAATTTCATCTCTCGTGGTTATCATAGATGACCACGGAATCACTAATTCTAGTCACTAAGACCTCGCAAAAACATTGAATTTTAGACATCGAAATCTCATATTGCGTCTAATAAATTTGAAAAGTAGGGCTTTTTCATCGCTAAACTTGTGTCAGCAAACCTTTCAGGTAATAAACAAACTCTCTTAACCCTGATCGTCTTTGATTTTTTGGTAGGCGGACGACAAGCTTACAACTAAAAGAAAAATCTTATGAAACAGGTGGAGAGTACCTTCCCTGTAAAGAAGACTTCCAAACCAAACGATCAAGTGAAACGACACCAAATTGAGATATTCAAATTTTCATTTAAGCCTCTGACCACGAGAGTCCAATAACCACAGATCGCGTGAATTTAGATAGGTCACGCTAGATTACTCGGAAAGAAAACGGAAGTTGTAAACTATAAACTCATATACTTATATTTATTAACTCTTTAACCGTTTAAATTAGTAATAAACCTGATCTTTTATGGCTATCTACTCGATAATTGAGCTCAAGGCTAATGGAGAAGGCTGATATCATGAGAAATTTACCCTACCGATAAATAGGCTGAATGCCTCCACATGATTTGACTTACATGTCAAGCGACATTTTTAGTATCTAGTGTTTACAAGTTGATAAGGGTGTTGTGGCTACTGGAGCCACAAGTCAGCTATTGTTTCGAGCAAATGCAAGCTGATTTATTTTCACGTCGACTTACTCAATTTGTTTTGAGTTTCACAAGTTTATTAGAGAGCAATATACCCAAACGTTATTTGATTAGATTTGCAATGTAATCAGGGTGATACAAAATTAAATCTATCATAACTGATCACATCAGTACGAAATAATTCCTGTCAGTGTAGTTTAGCTAAGTCATCTATCAATAGTAGAGAACTTGTGTGTTCCAGCGTATTTAGCCTCAAGAACAGTAACATCTGGGAAAAACCTCATATGAAGTGACTCCTTCTTAGACCCGCAGTTAGACTCAGTCTATATTTGTACAACAAAAAGTAGCACAACAGTACAGCCATTTCGCTCGTGTTCCTGAACAGAGTTTTTTTAAACATGAAAAAATCTTGCCTTTTCCCTCGTTGCTAAACCCCCCGGTTTAAGGTCATGAGAATAATGAAAATGAATGAAAACTAAAAAGCCCTGGATTGTTTGGGAAATTCTTCTTGTCAGTACCTTAGGAGACATATAGCTAACAGTATGGAGAAAATGCATACCAATGTTGGTGTGTAAAGAGTTAAGGAGTGAAGTTTGTCAGAACCTATTCTTGACATGTTGTTCCTGGGTGGAGAGAGGACTTGTGAGAGTGAAACAATCTGTTAAGGAACACTATACTATGGCTTGGGAATGAATTTAACTCAGACCCCTAAATACACTGACCTTTAGGCAAGCATATGTCAGTCTGTTGGTAATAAATAATCATTAGCGATAAAAGGTTCTCTCCACTGTTATGACTGACTTTCTGAAACATTTATGTTTAATTTTCAGGGGTTTGGTAGAGCTGATCACTCCATCACAGTCAAGAAACTTAAAAAACTTAATACCCAGATTATGAAAGAATTACCTTCTCCAATGAGCGTTATTAGAAACATGTTGAGTGAATGTATTTATTGAGTCCTATTTTGTAGTAATCATACTGCTAAAAGATTAATTATTTCATTGATACATTGTATAGGATAGGGCTCTTAAAAAAGGTACAACTTGAGGTCTTTGTATTTGGCAGTGCTTTCAGTAACACTTGATGCTTATAAGAGCTCTTCAAGATCAGTTGTGTAGCAAAATACCTGAATAAATCTTGACAGCCTTAATTTGGTAACGAAAAAATAAAATTGACACAAAACTTAAAAGAAGATGTTTTAAAAAGAGGCTGTTGGGGAAGAGTTCATCTGTGTTCCATTCCAAAACACCAGATATGATGAACTTTTCCATTTTTAAACCAGAACAATTTTAGCTTCTTAAGGGTGCCATGTAGGGACAGCCACCTATGTAACCTCAAATCTGAATGAAAGCACCATTTACAAGTTGGCTTAAGTTATCCTCTATGCATGCACATTTACTGACAGTAAAATGTACCTAGAACTATGGTGCTACATTGGAGATGTAAACAAATCTAAACCTGTATATGAGAAAAAAAATTATAGAGTTCAAAAGGGACAAATATTATATACTTTGGTGGTAAACATTTCGCTGGTTAGGGCTTCATCAGTACAAAGTTATGCAAACTAAGGCTAGTTAAATTTCTATAATAGGCTGCTAAGGTTTGTTATCCAAACCTGTTTTAGCATGAAATTATAACTAAGATTATAATTGTAATAAACAGTGCTGTACTTCTTCTAGTAGTCAGGTGTATAATGATTAAGATCATAACAACATCATTAGCTTGATCAGTTGCACTGCATGTAAAATTTGTGATTAAGGAATCAACTTCACCTTACAATATCATGACATTATCAAGCACTTAGGGAAAAAGGAAAAGATAAGTTTAGCCACAAGACTGGTTGCTATTTTGATACAATACCAAATACTCTTCACTAATTTACCAGAAAATAAACAGTTGACGAAGGGACAATTATTACTCAGATGTTTAGAGTGGAGGAAACATTTTTCCATTTGTTTACATAATTATACAGTGATATCCAGGTTTACACTGTAATGTTTCAAACATCTTGCTGCACAAGTGTTTCCATTTCTGTTCCACTGTGCTCTGGAACATGACCATTTTCTTGTGATGAGTTAGGAGCCGAAACAGGACCACTTTTGCAATCTGCAGATTTCTTACTTTTATTAACCCACCTCTTCCAATAGAGCCATGAAAAGAATATAGAGATTAAATACATCACTGCTTCTTTCAAAGCCTCATCAGCAGTTTGTCTTCCATTATATGACTGCGCAGCTAGAATTACAACAACAATAAGACCACAGATGGCTAGGGACCCAGCAAAACATGAGGAAAATGACTGACATTTTGTGTTGTTGTCATAAGTAATTGAATACATGCAGGTATAAAATGCAAAGGTTAAGACACCGATAACAAGACAAAGTAAGAGCAGGACAGCAAGACCCCAGATAGGATTTAGCATTATACCGACTAAGAGCCAACAAAAATGGTAGGTTGCTAAATTTGCACAAATTATGAAAAAGAATGACTTCCACTCTACTGTGTGCTCCCTTTGATGTCCTTGTTGATATCCTTGTTGATGTCCTTGTTGATGTCCTTGCTGATATCCTTGTTGATATCCTTGTTGATGTCCTTGTTGATGTCCTTGCTGATATCCTTGTTGATATCCTTGTTGATATCCTTGTTGATGTCCTTGTTGATATCCTTGTTGATATCCTTGTTGATGTCCTTGTTGATGTCCTTGTTGATGTCCTTGTTGATATCCTTGTTGATGTCCTTGTTGATATCCTTGTTGATATCCTTGTTGATATCCTTGTTGATGTCCTTGTTGATGTCCTTGTTGATGTCCTTGTTGATGTCCTTGTTGATGTCCTTGTTGATGTCTTCTCTGGCCGCAACTCCCACAGACTATACATGTCACCACGAAGACCATAACCCCAACACCCATAATGAACGGTTGTATCGCTTCAACGTGCCAAGGAACAACTTCTTTATCATTTCTCTTATTTCTATCAATTTCTTTATCGCTGCTAATTTTATGGACTGTTACCTCTTTTGCTATATATAAACCAACGAGTATTACTAATAAAATCAAACAAAGGAAATCTATTGTATTTTTCTTAATTTTTGACTTCCTTCCTTTTTTGTTTTTGAGCTCGTCCCGTTTTATCGTTGTTTTAAAGGCCAACAATGGCCCAAACAGTGTTGAAAAGAGAACAGAGAGGAATAACATTGCTATTATACGCCAACTGTGTTCTGCAACAGAAGAAATATTTGGTTGATGTCCCTCTGTAATACACTCAGCAGAATTCAGTTGGGGGTCTCTTATTGCTGGACTAACAGCCAGATCTTGAAGCTATGAAACATAAGTCAACTGAGTTAAATCAAACAAAAAGATGATTTTAAATGAGTATGCAGAAAAGAAGTGAGCTATGGCGTCTTGGAAGGTTTTGAAAAATATTTAAAAACACAGAACAAACCTGTTAGTATGACCAGTACCAAGTCACGCGTTCTCGGTCACAATAACAGTGTACATGCCCAGCAAACATGCCAACTCTCCCGAATAGGCCACAAGTCTCAAGGAAAAGACATGAATCTCCCTGACTCTGGCACAATTTGCCAAATAACTCTATGAAGGAAATATGAACTACTCCCCCCGCAGAGATGGAAAGGCAGGAACATTTCATCTCCACTATGGAGAATCGTCACGTTTCTGTTCATGGACTTCAAGGACAATTCTTTTAACTGTTTTTCGATTTTTGATATTTGCGTTCATTTAAGTGACTTCCAGTTTGTGGGAGAGATTGGAGCAAAGATGTCAATTAAGCAAATTTAGACGAGAGCGGGGGTGGGAACTTGGTTTAAAATCGTATATTTCCAGATTTCTCATTTTGCAGAGGATACTAAAATTTTCAGTTTCTTATTGATTGATCCATGGATAAAGTTACAGTAACCGAAGTAAAAACTCTACTTTCAATTCTTTTCAGTCTAAAAAAAAGTGTTCATGATAACCAGATGTTTTCTATGTGCAATGTTTTTTCCTGATTGGTTTTTAATGTTCAATTATACCTTTTTTTTTTGCTATGTTGATACATGATCTAAGTTGGTCAAAGTACTTACAGCAGCTAGAGCGTCTTCGATGTGTTTTTTTAGTTTCCCTTTTGTCACATCACAGCAGGAAAGTGAAATTGTTATGTTAAGCTCCTGTGTTCGACTGGTCACCATGATTGACCATAAAGACCAAAATTCAAGAACTTTAGCAGGAAGAGCAGCGTACAGGCAAGAAATACTCCACGTGTATTTGGCAGCAGGAGTTGAATTTTTAACTTTGCTGTGGCCGTAGACATTAACAAACACACGAACTGAGGAAGGCCTCTTGGGTGGATAAAGAGCCGACTCGATGTTGAAACTGTTTTCTGATTTTGCCAAGATGTTATAAACTTCTTCGTAGGTGATTTTGTCACAGGCATCAGTAGGATTGACAGCACTTGTACAGTTATTGGTAGCTGTTGTTTGAGACATGTGTTTTGGGAATAAGTGTATTATAACTTGGATGAGGACGAGAAATTTAAGCTCGAATCGGAAAAATGCCATCCTTGAAAAACAGTGGAGATTCTAATAGCTAATAGAATCCCTAGGTCAGTTGAAAAATTTCCTGCAAGAGAAGCGGAATGAATACAAATCAGCTTTGTTTGATCCACGTATACTTTTTGAGGCTGATTATTCCCTGTTAGCTACCAAAACACAATATTTTACGCGCGAAACTCGCTTAGATTATTGCTAGAGTTCATCACAGTTTCCATATAGCATGAAGTGTCGAGTTAGTGTATTGCTACTCGCAAAATCATCCAGCACATAAAAAGCCTGTCCCCGAGAGTTATATGGTACCCATTTATATTCCAAGGTGAATAGAACCTTTAAAAAAAATACTGAATGCTTTTATTCCAACGGTGAATATATTCAAGAAGAATCGGTAGAAGATTTATCGCCAATTAATGTGGAGAAACTAGCTATAATGTGGCTTAAGTGATCGTTACGTTTGCGAAAAGGTAGTTAGCAACAGTTTATCTGTAGTAATTTGTGGTACAAGTCCCTAAATTTTGGCTTGGCGGAGAAATACTTAGTAAATCGGCTGGATGTAAATAATAGGACACGTTCATACTTCCGGTTTCCATGAAATAACAATGTCTAACTCCAATAATTCGTGTCTGTAAGCTTCTATCGTTTGCCATTCTGAATAAAGCCTTTGCTCATCAAAATTTGAAATAAATTCATTTTGATATAAATATTTAAGGGAAAAAATCAGCGCCGAAAACAGCTTAACTTCTTACCTAAACCCTCCTAATTTAACGACTAATGGCTTATCGTAAGCTCGACTGTCCTAATTTTATCTCTCGTGCCACAGATGACAACGGAATTACTAGTTCTAGTAACTAAGACCTAGCAAAAACATTAAATTTTAGACATCAAAATCTCATATTGCGTCTGATAAATTTGAAATGTAAGGCTTTTTCATGGCTAAACTTGTGTCAGCAAACCTTTCAAGTAATAAACAAACTCTCTTAACCCTGATCGTCGTTGATTTTTTGGTAGGCGGACGACAAGCTTACAACTAAAAGAAAAATGTTATGAAACAGGTGGAGAGTACCTTCCCTGTGAAGTAGACTTCCAAACCAAACGAACAAGAGAAACGACACCAAAATAAGATATCCAAAATTTGAATTTAAGCCCGTGACGACAGAAGTCGAACGACTACAGATCACTTACTAGGGTGTGAATTTTAATAAGTCACGCTAGATTACTCGGAAAAAAAACGGAAGTTGTAAACTATAAACTCATATACTTATATTTATTTATAAGGTCTAAATAAGTAATATGCCTGATCTTTTATGGCTATCCAGTCGATAATTGATCTCAAGGGCAACGGAGAAGGCTGATATCATGAGAAATTTACCTTACCGATAAATAGGCTGAATGCCTCCATATGATTTGACTTATTAGTCAAGAGATATTTTTAGAATTCAGTGTTTACAAGTTGATGATGGTGTTATGACAACTGTAGCCACAGATCAGCCATTGGGAATAACTTTAAGTACATTTTCGAGCAAATGCAAGCTGACTGATTTTCACTTCGAATTAAAGACGAATACTTAATTTGTTTTGAGCTTTACAAGTTTATTAGAGGGAAATATATCCAAACGTTATTTAATTAGATTTCCAAAGTAACCAATATATCAGATATAAAATTAAATCTACCATAACTGATCACATCAGAACAAATTAATTCCTGTCAGTGTAGTTTAGCTAAGTCACCTATCAATAGTAGAGAGCTTCTGTGTTCTAGCGTATTTAGCCCAAAGAATAGTAACATCCTGGAAAAAGTTCATATGAAAAACTTCCTCAACGAAGAAAATGACTCCTTAGATCCGCCGCTAGACTCAGTCTATATTTGAACAACAAAAAGTAACAACAGTACAGCCATTTCGCTCGTGTTCCTGAACAGAGTTATCTTAAACATGAAAAAATCTTGCCTCTTCCCTTGTTACTAAAAATCTCCCCGACAGATTGTTCTTCCAGTAACAACCCCACTGTTGGAAAAAATATCTACGTCATACATTTCCTTAATGATGGCATATTTCTTACACACAACCGCCATTGCCACTTATGTCACTGTGCTTAGTTTCTCGTGATGCAATTGATTTCACTGAAGTCTCGCGGAAATCTTTCTACCTTTTGTTAAATGTATGAGTTTCCAGACAAGTGGTTACTCAACGTATGTCATAAGAGAGGCAGTAGGAAATAGTTTTTTCTGCCATTTCACAACTATTTTGACATTTCAAACTCTGCAAACCGATTCAAATCTCTTCTTTGAGCCTACAAATCCTAACTTAAGAGGACTATTGCAAATAAAAGTGGTGTTCCATATGGAGACCGAGTTTTAAGCCGACGAATTCAGATTTTGCTACACTTTGCTCTCTATGTCATTCCTTTGTTTCTCGTTAAATTCGATATTTTCACCACTTAGCACCATTGTGCAACATGCTTGGCTTTTTTCTATAAATGAACCATCGTTTGGGGACTGGCTTTCCGCCGTATTGTGATCGTTTACCGGTGGATGACATAGGCAAGGACATGTATGATATAAAGAATTCTGACTTGAGGTGTAATCAGTTGATGAATCGCTGAATGAAGTATCCATCGGGAGGACGTCGGGAGGTGTCCACCTTGGGTCACTGGATGGGAGTTGGGTTTGTTTCTCTTCTGACTTTTGGCTTTTGTTCAGAAGCCTCTTCCAAGACAACCACGAAATGAAGGAACCAAGAGCAGTCATAAGTATGGTCCTCAATGTTTCATCCGCAGTTTCTCTTCCATTAAATGACTGGCCGGCGAACACAATTACTGGAATTAAGACAATAACAGCAAGGAAACCCAACAGACCAGGTAATAGAGCATGCAGTTTATCGGGTTTCACTCCATCTTGTTTACAGCTAACTAAAGTAAGATATTCGTAGACAGCATAAGTGAAGGAGGCAAACGTAAAGCATATCATAAGCGTAACAGTCAAACCCCAAGTCGGGTTAAGCATTATGCCAATTAGCATCCAACAGGAACAGAAACTAGTGGTGGCTGCACATGTAAAGGCGACCGGTTTAGAAAAACAGCTCATGCCTTCTCCCCTGTCAGCCGAGTCTGTCTTCAGCCATGGAAAATAATTTTCTAATTTCTTACGGATATGTGGTATTAAGCCAATCACTGTATTGAATGCCATTGCAAACCAGATACAGACTAAAATAGGTACAATGTCCTTGTAGAGGAGAACTTCTTCCAGGTAAAAATTTACAAAAAGTAAAAGGAGCACCAATTGTTGACTTAAACCAAGAACTGACAACAAAAGACCTAGATAGAAGATAGCCTTAGCAGTATTTTTTATCCTGATCTTTTGCCTGTCTCGGCCGGTTGTATTCGTGTGTTCCCTCCCTGTGGTTTTCTCTGGCCAACCTTCTTTTCTACAATGTTCAATAAATGAAGTTAACAAATAGAAAACTGCCAAAGTGAAAAGAAATGAACACCAATGGATTATTTTGATGTACACACTGCGTCCTGTAGCCTCTATGTCTATTCCGTGGCCTTCGATAACACATTCCGCTGTGTTCATCCTTGGATCCCGTATCCCTGGTGATACGGCAAGATCTTGAAGCTGAAATGTAACAACAATCCCATATCAAAATTGTATAAACTTCAAAGGATGGTCAATAACTGAGAGACGGTTGTTAGTGAGTTAAGCAATACCTTTTTCCACCAAGGAATATTGATGAGTACCGGCCCGCAAACTTTCAGGGAAACTTGACAAGGTGCTAGTTATAAATACATGCGATGAACTTGCAACCAGTCTCAGTAGTGCAGAGATCCCCTTAATAGCTTCATGTATTTGGGAAACGGTAAAAAATATGGAAAGTGTGGGTTGCTTGGCCCAAAAGACTTAGCCTTTTTAGCAGTAGACTTTAGCTAAGACAATTACTGACGTCACGTACTCGAAACACCTTTAGAATAATTCAGGACCAAAAGCTGTTTAAATTTACAGTAGGGGAACGTCCGTGTACCTTATTGCCAACCAAATAATTGCGTTTATTTTCTTTTCATTTCTGCATACTTGCTAACTAACGGAGGAATAAGAGTGCTGAAGGCAGCTCTTCTAATCAGTTTCCTGTTGTTTCCAAATTAAGGGAGAAAACAACACACTTACCGATGCAAGAGCTCTTTTAATCCTTTCTTTAATTATTGTCCTTCTTTCATTCTCCTTCTTTGACACATTGCAGCAGAAATATGGAATAGTTATATTCAGTGTTTGAGTCCGAGGCGTCACAAGGATGGATCCGAGGGACAAAACTTCCAGCATGAGTGGTGGGACAGCAACATACAAACAGGAAAGGCTCCAAGTGTATGGCACGATGAGGTTTTCTGCCTCGTTAGGACCGTGTAAATTTACAAACACACGGACAGAAGAAGGCCTCCTCGATGGATGTATAGCTGACTCAATGTTAAAACTGTTTTCTGACTTTGCCAAGCTGTTATAAAGCTCTTCATACGTGTGGATGCATGAGAGGGAATTAGGCGAGTTGTCACAGTTATCGCTGAAATCTGCTCCAACATTATGTCGACCAAAAACCAGCACCAGTTTGATAAGAGTAACCACAGCAAACCTGAACCACTGAGGAAACATGCTTGAATATCTTGATACTTCTTCTTTTCAGTCTGATAAGTTTGTAAAAGCATATGACAATATTTAGCCGATAAATAGAATAACGAGATAATTTCACGTTTCATGCATCATTAAATCTGCGTTCTATCATTGAATTACGCCAGTTTAGCCATTTTTTGCGGAAAATGATCAGCTTTGCTCGATATGACATTTTCTGTTGTATTTTAGATACCTTGTTTAAACTTCTTTCTTTCCTAATGGGAAAAACTTCAGTAACACGATAGAAATTTCGATGGTTTATCGACACAAAGTTCACAGTTATCAGTGATGCAAAGAGTGCAATCCACAATAAAGGGGGGCAAGTTTCTAAAGAAACTGTGGTGCTGTGTCGGTGGGAGAGTATAGCAGGTAATTTAGTATTAACAACTGAGTTGAAAACGTAAATTAGCCACCGTAAAGGGTAAAAAAGCTGACTTTTCGAGCGTTAGCCCGTCGTCAGTGTGAATGACAGGCTTTCCCTCTGACGAAGGGCGAACGCTCGAAAAGTCAGCTTATAAACTCTTTACGGTGGCCAATTTACATTATCAACAAATGATCTTGTTATATCAAATTTTATTTGGTATTTCCCCTTCCCTCTCACGAAGGCTTGACTTTCGAAATGTCAGCTTTAGAAACTCTTTACGCTGGCCAATTTGCATTATTATTTCAGTTAATAAAATCAAATTTTTTCTTTATGCATGGTTTCAAAGCGTTGTTGTGTTCGTCTTATAAGGCTGCGTGCGGTGGGCCTAAGTTAAAACAGTGTTTTAAGACCTACATATTCTCGCGGATTATTGAAATGAGATGCCATAGCTGATAATGATTTGTCCTTGAAATTTCTCAAATGCGCACAAAGTGTGCGAAGAACTTTTTCTGTTGATTACTGAAAGAAAATTAAAAGAACTTATGACTTCCGATCTTCCCTTTAAGGTTATTACGCAAATTAAAAGAACTTTGATTGTTATTACACTTCATGATCATCATTTTTATCAAGAATGTTGCTGTCATTCATTAATCGTTTCATTCATTTCTTTTTCCCTTTCGATTTCATTCCCGAGGACTACCCCGTTAATTGGCCACGCTACTTGATTTCATTTGAATACTTTGGGTTATGTACGCATTTAAAAAAAATGCCTACGCAAGCTATTCTTGCTCAAAGTGGTTAATGAACTTTCCCTTTCAAAAATAGCTTTAAATAAATTATTATTTATATTTAAAGAATAACACATAGTTACACTTGCCTGCGCCCTCCTTTACCTAATGAAGCTGCATGAATTATAAACGGTAATGCCTGATTTGCGCGTCCTTATTTGTGCTTGTCTTAATCGTGACAGACGTTCGCTATTACGGACTTTGCTGCCTCTGATATCAATTCCATTCTTAAGAGAATTTTGACCCCAAGAAATGGCAGAAATCGTTATCTCTATTTATTTTCACATTTCTTATGTTTAGCAGTTACTGATTTTAAATCAAACTCGCGCACACATGATATCCTGCATCGCTGGGCAAACAAAGAGGTTGCCAATCGTCTATGTTATATTATCGCTATTTGAGCTCCAAGGCAAGCATACTCACTTAACAAAAATCATGATATAAGGAGGAAAATACCTTTGTGTGAATTACGCAGTAGGTTTGATTTACGACTCAGCGATGTGCTCGATAAAACTGACAAGAAACGCAGAATACAATATTCCCACTTTGACGGCTGCGACCATCGGAGTTGAACAGATGGAGTGCATTTGAATAATTAGTCACGGTAGATTTCTAGAAAACGGAAGTCATAGAGTGAACTCCCTGCTTTGGCGTGTGTAAATATGATTAGATTTAAGAGTAACAAAGAGGAGTATAGCTACTCTATTCTCACCATTCCGGAGCTTTGCAGCCCGGGTCTCTTAACTGTACCCGGTAAACTCGTATAAACACTGAGTATAGTTCATACTGCCGCCACGGAAGTGCCTTGAGAAGCAACTGAGTTTTATTCCTGCATATCTGTTCCGAACTGCAGCGGAAAAAGTTTGAAAATATATATTCTTCTCTTTGTTTTGTACCTACTTTTTCCCGCTCATGCATTCTTATCCTGAGATCACAATATTTCTAACAGAATTTAAGATGCTTAGATAATCCTCGATTAAATGTGTGTCAGTGCTCATTGCAAACGTGGCCTTGCCAATGAGTCCAGAGTTTATACGTAACGGAGATAAAATTTTTCTCAAATTTTGAAGATTGATTTCTAATAACCCATTTCTCGAGACCGTGGTGTATTTGGTCAAGATGGCACAAACCTTTCCCGTCTCCTAGCCGCAACCAACAATCGATGGATCCTCGCTGACAATATGAAGTTTTCTTTAAACAATTTCAGGAATTAAATTTGATGATTTAAGCGGCAATATGTCGGTAGCAACCCGATCAGAAGTCGAGGCCTCAATTACATCAGCAAATTTGTGTCGATGTTTATATGACGCCAAAGTTAAAGTTAGAACGGGGTCTGGCGACTGATCCAGAAAATACTGTATGTTCTTTCCACCTCACCCCAACTATAAATTTTGGTTTTAAAAAGGTGAAATAGGCATGTTGAGCTTTCGAGTCTGAGGCGTTGCAAGGATAGAAGGAAGTCTTCCAATATGAATGGCGGAAGAGCGACAGGAATAGCACTTAGCGGTGCAATGTATGGGGGTTTTATGTTTTTTGGGGCCATGTAAACACACGCGGACAGAAGAAGGCTTCGTGCGTGAATAACTGATAATGGGACAGTTTCCACGAAATAAAAATGAAGATATATTACTCGATACTAAATTCTAGGGTCCTCTGGCGTATCGGAATTATTGAATTAAAGCCGGAATAACCAGTTTTCTGGTTTTCTATTTCGCAGGCTATTCGGCTTTGTGAGCTTAGCAACGTCACATGGCACAAGAAACTAAGTTAATTTCTGGTTTTGTGACAAGCAGTGAGCAACCGAAGGCCAATTGTTGCCAGTTCAGTGTATCATCGATACTTGCCCACTGAAAACCTGCACCAAACTGTAAGTATGAAGACTAATTCAGTAAGACTAATTTGCGCTCAAAAATGCTATTGTGAGCTCCGACTTCTCCTGATGCACTTGATGAGAAACAATAAGAGTAGTTTTCAAACATTAAGGCAAATTTATTCGTTAACATATCCAACTGACATTTTATAAGAAAGTAGGAATGCCAAGAGCTATTTATCTAACTAACTAATGAGCTTCTATTAATTTGAGTAATTTCGATTCATTTATTGCAAATTAATCTTTAAAAGTCTTCCGATATATGAAGTTTATTTAATTCCAGGAACATTTCTTTTCTCCACGTGTCAACACTAGTTAACTAACTACATACTAGAAGGTGGGTAGACTCCACGCAAATATCATGCAAAACGAGAAAAATATCTTGCGATACTGAAAGGTTATCGGCTGTAATTTACAACCGATTCAAATGCTGAGGGAGGAGGGGGGGGGGGGTGACAGCCGTTTAGATAGCAAATATTCCATTTGGTATTCTGTCCAGTGTTAAACGAGCGACAAACATCTATTGTTATCTCTGTATCTCTGTCCCTTTTTATCCAGTTTAACGGCGTAAATACTACAAAAAATATCATCGACGGATGCGTTGTCCTTGGTTCCGCACGTATACAATCGACGTTTATGCATGCAGTTATCATGTCAGTTCTTCTAAGCATAAGTTCATTCCTGTCCCTCTTCATCTACTATTTCAAGATCAAAGTACTAAAATTCTTTGTTAGTCGTCGAGAGGGGGTTCAGGTATAGACATGGGCGACATTTGACGACCGATTGTAAATTACGCGAGATGGATGATTTCTTCTGCGAGAGATGTTCCGAAGTATGTCCACGATAGCGTGTCGAATGTGTCCCATCTTCCAGCAGTAAATGACAGGGTTCAAAGATGAATTAAGATACATGAGAGTCAGAGAGAATGGATAAAAATCTGTAAAAAGGAAACTCATGTCACTGGTTCTAAAACCAGCAATGCCGATGGTAAAGGGCAAATAACAAACTAAAAACACCAGATATACATAAAATACACCAACTGTGGATTTAACGAGGGCAGCAAAATTTGTCATTTCCCCAGTTTGAGCAACTTCTTTTACTTGCTCGGACTGAATCTGATTCTTGTGCCGTCGAACAATTAAATATATTTTGACGTACACCACAAATGTGAGAATAAAGCCAATAGCTGAAAAAACTACAGTAATGAGCTTCCTCATAAAAAACGATCCCCACAATATTATTAACGAAAAAAATACACTGGACACCCATTGGGAGGCCACAACAATTACAACACGCTTGTGAGTCACAAGCTCCTGGTATCTGAGATGAAGATGAACTGCTAAAAACCTGTCTACACTTACAGCCACAACACCAAGGAACGAAGCAGATAAAAACAAAAGACATGAAATAATCCAAGCTCGGTAAGCGTTGCAGCTTGGATTGTCCAGTTGAAGCCACTTGCTCAGAGAGAAAGTGTAAAATGGTTGAACAAATAAACCGACTCCAACATCAGAAACTGCAAGACTTAGCAGCAAAGTTTTCAAAGTCCTTGGCAAAGATGAAGTTTTTCGCATGGCATACAGTGTTACAATGTTGAACATGATAGTGGTATAATTTGAAAAATTATTGAAGACACAGTTAACAATGAAAGTCGTGCGAAGCTCTCTCAAGTCAGAATGAGCGAGGCGAGACTGCAGAAGGCCGGCACAAAACGATTCGTTCATCATGATTAACCCATGAAAGATGCCTCACGATCGTTTATCGGCAATTTCCATTTCACTTTTTTGCGTCAGTTCGATGGTTCATTTGTCTCTCTTCTTACTTCACAAAAGTTATACTGTTAATCATATAAACTGGCCTTTCCATATGTTTATGGAGTTGTTTTATGAAGCTTTAAGATATTCCTGTCTCACTGTCCAGCTGTGTCCATCTTGCAAGATGCGGACCCAGCGATCAGGGTTTTGAGATAGTTTTGTTTATTTTCAATCTCCCAAGAAAAGATTGCACGATATATCTCAGATAATTAACAGAAGAGGGGTTTTTTCCAAAAGAAAAATAATTAAGAAATTAATTTTAACTGAATACTGGCAGTACTAGCATCGTCTTTCTTTCTTTCTTTTTGTCAAGAGAATAAATGACAAATTGACTATTTTTAGTTGCCTTCTGATGCAGAAACCCTCAGTTATAAGGATTCTAATTTACCAGCAGTGATAAAGAAAATAATATTCTTCCTCACCTGACTGGCAAGAAATTGAAATTGAAATTGAGCGTTTGCGTCATCAGTCATCAATCTGTCTTCTCTAAGTGAAACGAAGATGTATTTATTTCAGTTTATAAATGCTTCTGAAGAAGTGATTAAGAAAAATATTTAACTGTAAAAAATTGCGATGAAACTTTTCTTAAAAACATTGTAAGATTGCTAAAAAACGACGACGTTTCGACGTTGGCTAAACGTCATTATTAAGTCAAAAAAATATTTGTAAGTTGCAGTCTATATATACCAAAATAACAACGGGTGATGAAAAGCTATGCCGTAAGAAAAGAACAATAGTTATTTAAAAAAAAAGTTTGGCACGTATGGAGTCCGTCTGGATATCTAAATTAGGCTTGAGATTCTTGATAAACAGCATTTCAAAGACTAAACAATCAAATTTTCTCTGGCACTTTCTTAAAACTCTAAATTGGTTTTCTTTCAAGAGGTGGTTGCTACCGTGAGCTTCCACGAAATTTCGACCGATTGCCGAATATTTGTGCTCAGCAATGCGTTAATGAAGGTGTCGGACTGTGTACCCGACATAATCTGCATCGCACAGATCACAAGAGAAACGATAAACAACACATTGTCGATTCACAATTGACAGCTTGATTTCTTTGGGTTTAAGATCTTTCCCCAATTTCTTGCTCACAAAAACAGGCTGCAATATAAGGAGAATCTTATAGCCGAGATCGAGCAACTGCTTCCCAACCGCATTAGGGGCTACTTTGAATGGAAGACTAATTCTTACTGTACTTCTATCATCGGTGTTCCTTTCTACTGTGCCTGCCGGCGCATTTCTAAAACGAAAATTATTGATGGCGGAATCAATAAGGCCCATGAGGTAGTTAAGACGACTGAAAATAGAGCGCAATTTGACACATTCTGCATTAAAAGCCTCTGTGGTAGACGGTAGGGCATAGGTCGGTGCATCATTGCCTCTAATAAAGAGTCTCTAGAGCGTTTATCGGTGTGACTGTAGAAGTCTAAGAGCAAACCAGTGTTTGCTTGTTTTCGGTAAACTTGAGTTTCAGGACTCCATACGTGCTAAAATTTTTTTTAAAATTACTATTGTTCTTTTCTTACGGCATAGCTTTTTATCACCCGTTGTTATTTTGGTATATATAGACTGCAACTTACAAATGTTTTTTTGACTCGATAATGGCGTTTAGCCAACGTCGAAATGTCGTCGTTTTTAGCAATCTTAAAATGTTTTTAAGTAATGTTTTATCGCAATTTTTTATAGTTAAATATAAATAGTTTATAACCCTTTCTGTGTCGATAAGTGTTAGAGCATGCGTAAGCTGCAAACTAATCTGCAACAATTTGCCGGGAGGGGAAGTCATAAATGTGTTCATCAATTAACTTCTGTACTCCACAACCACGCACCCAGACTCTCAACTCTGAAAGAAGGAAGAAGCTTAAAAGGAGCGAGAAAAGTTAATTAAACTCGTTTATTTCTCTTTCCTGGCGTATTTAACCAACTTTATTGTGACGATTAATAATGAATATATTTCCGTTTTCTTTAACGCGCCTTGGAAACAGACAAACAATCAAACTTAAAATGTTTAAATATTCGTCCGCGCTTACCCACTGCCGATGAATTTTTGTCAATTATCAGTCCAACATAATTTCTCTTTGGTTACAAGGCTTATAGCTGACAGCTGAATTTCAGTGGGACTTTTTGATGTTCCTTTCGTCTGAAGAATTATCTCGCTCTTGCCGGTGGATGGGGGTGGAGTCAACCGAATCGTCGAATTATATCGATTTCAAAGGGGGTAATTTTTGATGGCGCAAGACCTACCTGATGGTGCATGACGCATGGCCATGTGTGCACAACATGACGTTTGCAGCACAGTATCATTTCAGCTGCAAAGTTCCTGATGAGTCTAGCCGCGTGGTTCCAAACTCTTCATGATTGTTTTTACGGTACGTCCCGATTGAAATGAACCTTTTGCAACTCAAACGAAACAGTAAATATGCTAAAATAAAACTCGAGTCAAAAGACAATGAACATGTAGCTCTGTCAAGCGACGCCGGAAACTGATTAGCTTTGGAGCACACGATACTTGTGATACAACCATACAACCTCGAGTTGCTCTCTGCTGCGCCTTGAGAAACTCTTACGCTTCTCTCGTGCTCTCAAAAATTCCCACTGGCACCCATAACTCATGCTAAACATGAACCAAATCTCAGATAACGGGAAGAGAAATAGACTTCAATAATCGCTCAGAGTGTGCTTTAGAGAAAGAACGGAAATCGTAAAACGATAACGGATATTGACTCTGCGTTGTTGCTTTCGGCAAAGCTATGTTTGAATATCGCTAGTGAACACAAATGTCTTTTCTTTTCCCTTTTTAATCACAGACGATAGAGTTAAATTACCAGTTAACAGTCAAGTTAATTTTCCATAGACATCTGTTGGGTCTCTTTATATTCTAATGAGGTGTTCCTGTCATCTGTCGTACTTTTAGCTTTCCTCTTTCCCTGCAAATTGGTTCAAAGATGTATTTTTTTAAAATTTTTTTTTCCTATGCAATTTCATAATTCACTTTGTGAAATTACAAGTGAAACTATTGATGAACACACTTTGGAAAAAGATTAAACATAGTTCCTTTACGACAGAACACGTACTTGTCTGTGAAAGACTTTTACTCTTCCTGACAATGCAAGTCTTCGTTTTGTTTCCCTCCGTTTGAGAATCCTCAAAGCCTGCCGAGGGTTGGCGTACACTGGTGTTGAGGATCCGTCCTGTAGTTCTGCTGGGGGCAGCAGAATTTTGCCCCGCGAATCAACAACAGGAAACTGATATAAAAAAAAGCATCTTTACAAAAATACTTGACATTTAGATTCCCATCTTTAAGTGTTTTTTTTTCTAGGAGGATCCCTCTACGAATGCTCGTTAATAAAGGAGCGCAAATTAGTCCATACAGTGAGCAGAAAAGTGAAACATTAGCTGAACTTAAATAACACCGATTTGAAATATCCCATATGTGGAAGACGTAGACACTTTCGACTCTGAATCACTGAGCAGGCCGGGCTTATTTGCGCAGACTCCCATGGAACGTTAGTAAGCTTTACGTTTACAGAAAATTGCCGCCATCTTTATGGTGCAAAGTTGGTCAAATATGAGGTACTAAAGAAATTATAACCTACGGTTTTTTTAAATGCAATATTTTTAATTTATCAACATTTACCATCGTTGAAATGAAATCGTTTCCCTCAAACAGCATGAGGGTTGAAATTCCCGATATATAGATGGTGACAAATCTCTCTCTTTCTAAAGGGTGGTAAGTTTCTAAAGAAACTGTGGTGCTGCGTCGGTGGGAGAGTATAACAGGTAATTCAGTGTTAACAACTAAGTTGAGAACGTAAATTGACCACCGTAAAGAGTTTAAAGGCTGACGTTTCGGGCGTTAGCTCTTCCTCAAAGCGATTCTTTCTAACCTGATTGTGCTCTACTGGTTAACTCTACCTTTGTTTCCAAAGTTTGCACTTGGCTTTCAGTTTTCATCGAATTTGCTCTCTTGACATTAGACTCTGAAAAATACACAAACCGAATTTGATTTTCGGTTCGCATCAACGAATTTCAGATTTTTCAAAGCTTTACAAAGGGCAGCTTGAGGTACAGTGCAAATAATACTAAATAATAAAATAAAAAACAATGGTCCGAACTGAGGAAACAACAAATGATTTCACGCATCAGACAAACCTTTGTTTTCCATGCTGATAAGGTGATTAATATATTATACAACCATTGTGTCATAGAGGATGAGCGCGCGCACACTTGAAATCTCAAGCCCCGCGGCTGAAAAAATTAAAAACACAATTTTATTTCCACGGTTTACCCACCGTTCTCTCTAATCCGGATAAATTGTTTACTTTACCGGAAAACGCTGGTTTGGTGTTTTTGTGCGAACGGAGATACTGAGAACGGAGCTATTTCAAAGCTGGAGTGAAATAAGTGGTAAGGTAAGAACTCTTACGCTTTTTGAACAACTTGATATTTCTTTGTAACAGCTCTATAATTTCATAAATGAAGTTCTGCATCGATTGTTGGAATGGCTTGTTTTTGCCGCGGAATCCTCTTCAAATCTTAACAAACATTTCTTAACATAAAAAGACACATCATGTTATTTTCTCGGTAAGCATATTTTATCGTGACTGGTAAATGCTATACGAAAATCTACACGATGGCAGCACATGAGAAAGACTTGGAAATCGCCTTTGCACATAGATTGCAGACGTTAAAATTGTCAATCTTCCTGGTTATTACTTTGACAACAACGCAAGAAACAATAATATTCGCAACAAAAGTTAGGGAAAAAAATCTACCCTCAATCTATCCTTGGGCGTTTTCCTATAAAATCAAACAACGCCTCTTTCAGTATTACTCAGTTTTATCAATTTGCTCATACATCATCCATTACCATCTGATGCTTAAGGTTGCACCAATATATTCCATTTTGCCAT